ACCACTGGCTGTATAGAATATATTATGAAGGGTGGGGAATGGCTTACAAATGAAACTTTGTGAGCCTGGCTCTCAAAGTCTCCATTCTGTGTTAATGATGGGGATTTGAATAGTCAGTAGGTTTTTCATGTGCCTCATGCAAATCTCCTTTTCCAAGGGAATTTACTCCTTTGAAGTTTGATTTAACAGTAAATTAAGCTAGTGTTCTTGCTGCTTTGTCACATTCTAATTTTGGAAAATAGTGTTTCCTAAACAAAGTTTTTGATTAGCAGGTCCCCATTGAGAGGTACTTTGAGCTGGGCAAACTTTGTGCTAAAGAAGACTGATGAATAGTGGAGAGGCTGGTTTTGACATTATGTTGGAAAGTATGGAGAGAAGTAAATTGAGAGACAGAAAATATTAGTTGTGAGAGTTGAAAGTAGTACATTGCTGTAGATAAAGAAGGCAGCAGAACTATACTGATATTTAAAAAAAAAAAAAGAATGGAAACTAAAGGTTAAGAGCAACCTCGAACTATCCCTTCTTCCCCTAGAGAAATCATTAGCAAGTGATTTCTGGAATTAATAGAGCCCAGGGATAAATACTTTTCTGGGTTCTCATATCTAGTACTTTGGAGATGAGATTCATTTTCTTAATAAGAACTAAGCCAGTATTTAGTTGGCTCTCACTTTTCAATTCTAAAACTTAAAGCAGGTAAAACTAAAGGCCTGTCCATCAAATCTAAGTAATACTGACAAACAATAGCTCCTGGTGTGGGTAATCAGAAGGAAGATACTTGAGAGAAAACACACTACTATGTTTATCTTAATAGGTTAAAATTAAGTTTCACAAACAGCACTTTCTGTACCATTCTGCTGAGTTTATCCATTACACAGGCAGTTAATCCTTCATAAAACAGACTGGCCACTTGTTTGAGATTATCCAGGAATGAGTGATGCATACAGTGACCCATGGTATTCTCATAGTCATTTGTCTCACTTAATTTTTGTTGCTGGAGATCTATAAAGTAAATACAAGCAAATATTACGAACTTCATTGGATCAAAGGTGCTGTTTATTGTAAGATGCTCTGTTATTTCATATATTGCTGAAAAAAATGTCAAACATGTTTTCTTATAATCTGACTGTTTACATGCATCCTAGTTTTAAAGATAACAAAAATGGCTTTTAAAGTATATGTTAGAGTCTCTGAAGGCTGTTTCTAGATGGAACTATGCTTTGATTGCCAAAGTCAGTAGCTTCAGTACTGCTGTTGACAGTGTGACTTTTTAATAAGAGTAATTAATGGTATTAATATGTCTTTGGAACAAGGGTTTATGTAGAACATGTAAAACATAAATTATTCTAATAGCCTACAATTTGAGACAGACTAGCAGGCTTTTCATCTTATGGTTAAGCATTAGAAGTTCAAAGAAGACTATCTAGAGTAGAACACAAGTCGGGTCATAAATTTTATACCTGGAATCTGAAGATCCAGGTTTGGAACCCTGCCCTTTCTGTGCCTTCATATGGAACCCAAGCAAGTTTTCCTGGGTTTCAGCTTCTTACGCAGCCAAGAAAGGATGAGGAAATGTGCCACGTGAGGAGGTTGCAGAATCCAGAAGGGCATTTGGAGTCAGGAAACACACAAACAGGAGTCATGAAATTCTTAGAGCCTACTACTCTGTGGCTCTCCAGAGTAACCTGTTAAGGGGAACTGAGAGACATGAAGGCCTATGAAATGTAGGGACCTTTTCCAACACAGGAGATTCCATATTTAAGAAGAATGTGAGACCAACTAACCAAGGAAGAAGAGCTCAAGGAATTGAAAAGATGCTGTCTTGAATATATGGCAAAGTCGATAAAATTGCCCATGGTATGTAAATAAGAGGCTACCTTTTCCTGAGTGACTTTCATCTCAGTAGGTGATTGTTGCTTTCAACAGTCCGAGTGGCACCTGGGAAAAGAAACCAGCTGATTAGCCACGACATAATCTTTGAGCTTAATTCAAAACTGGAAAACATATTATGACATAACTCTCTTCTCACAATTGATTTGTAAGTGTAATAAGTGATAACTGCAAACTTTTTACCTTGATTTGGCTCCCATTGCTATTTACAGTGTTTTCTTTTTGGTACCTCATTGGAGGGAGTTTTTAAGTGATGATRTTTTGTCCCTCCTCAAGGAAATCCTGTGAGAGATACATTTCCAAAGATAAATACAAAAGCCTTTTGCCAGAACTCGAATAATAATGTTCTAAGGAGTTTGGTATAAAGAAAACAGGCAGTTGGGTGTGTGTTTGTTTTAATAATTTACATTTTGGAAGGGGTGAGTGAAACTGAAAATATCTGATAGAAAACATACCTGGAGATCAGGCATAAATAACTTTCTGAAGATTTTACAGCTATTGAGTGCCAAAGTTAGGATTTTATTAAATCTGAATTCTGTCCCGATCTGAGGCCTTATCCACTCTACAGGAATAAATAATTAAGAAGTATAAATGCTTAGKGGATTTTGGTGTTGATTCTTTGAAAGGGAACTCTGAGTGAACTGTGGCTGTCTTGTGGGTCTGTGCTTACTACTGAAATGCCCAAGATAGCAGGGGTGCAAGACAGGGGAGTTCCACTCTGCTCACTTTGTGCTAGACCACGTGGCTGCATCATGTTAGTCTGGTCACTCCAGTTCACCTTCCTGGGTCTCAGTTTGCACATTTTTAGAGGCAAAAAGCTTGGACCTGACAATGATGATACATTTGCTTTGGCTGCATCCATGACAATTTGGCAGTCATTGCCAATCACAGGACACGTATTCCCCTGTGGAGTTCTAGCCTCCAAATCTTGCTCATCCTCAGACCCCCCTAGGGAACTACTTGTAACTGATAGCGGTTGGAAAGTGAAATGAAATCTATTTCCTATAGCCTGGGTCAGATGACTTCTATGGCCTCTTTGAATGTTCTTTGAATTTATCAATTTCTGATTTTCTGGAGTTCTCAAGTCCTGGCAGTCATCTCTCCAAAGCACTTTATTAGAATGGTTGCAACAACAACTAAGGGAAGCTATCAGGGAAAATTCATGGTTCCTGGCAGAAAAAAAAAAAAATCCAACTTCAAGGGAATTTTACTTCTCATCTGGTATAGGAAGAACACTGTGGTTATAACCATGGAAAGCTATTTTTTTTTTTTTTTTAAGCCACAGGCAACCAAATCCAGACAGGATTCCATCAAGGTTATAGAAGTAACTTTAAGGCATGGCTCTTTTCTCAGGTTCAGGCCTCCCAGTTTGAGGACATTCTCTGTTTCTCAGGACAAGGGTGGAATGATTTTTTTCTTCCCGACAAGGATGACCCATTTGCAATGCTTATGTTACACATGAATGGTACTCATGAAAACTGGCAATTTAAAGAGGGAACAAGTGTACTCTATCCATTGCCTTCTACACTCTTAATGTTGAGTTAAATAAGTAAATAAAATGTTAATGTTGAGTTAGAAAGTTTTACCAACCAAGGGGATTTGTGTTAACATTGCATTCCATTGTCCCCGATCCTTTGGCTGTGATGACCATGTCTACCTATCTAAGTTAAAAGCTTGGCAGCCATGACCCTGTATAGTGACAGATCCCCCAGGGTGGCTCTCAGGAATCACTTTCTTCCCATTTGTAGCTTTTTTTTTTTTTTTTTTTTTTTTTTATAGATCCCTTTAAATTCTTCCTCAGTGCTGATTCATGGATGGGATAGAGTGTAGGAGGAAGCTTTTTTCTATTTATTTTTCTTGATGTTCCTTTTCCTAGATGTTGTTGCCACCTGCCAGGTTGGCTTTAGAGTGGATATTAGTGCCTGGAACTCCACTCCTGGCCCCCTCCTGCCCAGGCACGTGCACACATTGTGATGCTCTGTGTCCTCCATTAACTGTGGCTTGAACAGATGCTAGTGGAGTGATGGATGTGACTTCTCAGACAGAGCCCTACACCCCCACCCCCATTTGGATGCAAATATCTTTTAGCATCTTGAAAAGTAGGATTAGCCCAGGTTGTGTCCTCCCTCAGCCTCCACACACCCTGTCCCTGTCAGTCCAAGGCCTGGAGTTTGGCTTCCCCTCATTGTTTGCTTTCTGAAACCCCCAGTTCAGCAGCTCTTGAATGCCTCCATTGTGCAGAGCAGCCGCCGCCAGAAACCCCAGTCTGTTGTCAGGGCCAAGCGCTGTGTCCCTAGGAATCCAAGTAATAACTTAATAGCCTCTGGCCTCTATGGAGCGCCCTCTGACAAGGGCTTTGTGAGTTACAAGGCCCACAGATGGAAAGGAGCAATTTATCTCAAGGACTGTCACAGTCCTCCTTGTTCCCAAATCAGGTGCCTCCTCAGCCTGTATGTTTACTGAGAACTGAGACTTTAAATACACCTCCCACCCTGAGAATTTGACACAAAGGGGTGAAAATCAACAGCATCTGATCTTCTCAGAAACACAGGAGTCAGCTTTCAGCTCTTGGTACAGGGAGACACAAACAACACACACCCTGTGCACTTTGATCCTAAGCCTCTTGTGCACATTAGTTTTTTCAGCTTCAGTTTTGGGTCTTCCCTGTATGTCCAGTGCTAGTCAACTGTCTCTTAAGCACTGTGTGATTCTTCCCAGCCAAATTTCAAGGCCTATACATTTCCACCTTAGGAAAATACCCTGATGGGATAAAGCAATCCAAGCCGGTTCCCTGCCCCTCTTCAGCACCAAATATGAAGGAGTGATATCTAAGTATGAAAGCCAGAGTCTTGGATTTAAGTCCAGATTGGATCCTTTGGTGTATTCATTTTATGCCATTTGATTGATTGGCTTGGTACTCAAAAGTATGCATATTTGTGGTACTAAAACAGTAGCTTGGTTCTTGGTAGGTTCTGATACTGTGTCAGAACCTAAATTATTATTTTTTAATTTGTTGTCCTCATTAGTATTAAAGCTTAATGTCTATTAAAGCTTTTTATTTCTCGATATTGTGTGTTACTGAAACCATGTTTTCTTCTTTTTATTCCTTTTAGGAAAGCATGCCTCAGACTCCTCCCTTTTCAGCAATGTTTGACAGCAGTGGTTACAACCGAAACCTCTATCAGTCTGCAGAAGACAGCTGTGGAGGGTTGTATTACCATGACAACAACCTCCTCTCTGGGTCTCTGGAAGCACTTATCCAGCACTTAGTACCTAATGTGGATTACTATCCAGATGTAAGTATTCATGTTCCTCTGAAACCTATCCTTGGTATTGAGCAGAAATTATAATATGTAGGGACCATATATACTATACAATTATATATGGGTTGCTAAGGATTTTTCTCATAAGAAATTGCATATTGATTATTGAATGCTTTCAGATCAAATCGAGCCTGAGTGTGGATCAGATTTTGGTGTAGTCTCCATTTCAGTTTCTTTTCAGATGAGGTACTACATTGTAGGCAGCCTGATACCACCTGAATGAAGTATCTATAATGTTTTGATTCATGCATACACCTTGGTCCTTAAATAAAAATGCCAGCGAACATTAGATGCTCCCAGCATTTGATATTTAATGCCTTTTTCATTTCTAATACCATCACTATCTGAGAAAAGTAGGAAAGTATTTGGAAGAGAGAAGATGATATATACTCAAGATGCAATGATTTATCAGTTGGGACATCAGATAGCATTTTTGCTTTTGTTTTACCTTAATAACCTACACTTGTATAGGTGGTACATTTCAGTATAGGGAATTCATTACATATTATCTCAATCTTTGCAGTAATTCCAAAAGAGTGAAGGGGAGATAATTGAAATTCACAGTATTGAGGATTTGCTCCAGCAACAGTAGTCAAATACAGGTTTTTCTTTCTGGGGCAAGTGATCCCCCCCCCTTCTTTTGTACAACAGCTATCTCTATAAAACTGATTTGAGTAGGACAATGAAATTTACTCAGCAGCTAGTTATTGATGGAGATTTCATGAAAATAGCTAGAGACCACATTCATTAGTTTTTATAAATACAATGAATATCATTGATGTGCAAAGAATTGTTTGTGTATGCCACTGTAATTCATCATGATGTTTCTTACTGAGTTATCTCTCTGTGTGTGAATTGTTACATAGCATTTTCAGATATGTTACCACACAGGGAAAACTTGTAATCAAAAGTAAAAGGAATCCCTTGTTCAGCCCTGCAAGCATTTATGAGCTACTAAAGGCGCCTAAGGGGGGAAAAAAAATCCATGGAATTTCTCTTTTCATTGGGAGTCTGAAACTCTTATAACAAATAAGCACCACTTCATTACTGGCTTCTTGGGAGACAATGTGGTTAAAGAAAAGTATATAGTGTAATATTGTGCTTTATCAAATTGCTTAGCCCTTGAGCAAGTAAATAGGTTTCCTGAAAGCCTGCCTTCAAATGTTCTGACACAAATGCTTCAGTGTACCACACTAAACACTCTGGAGAATTCTTGAGCTGAATGTGGGAGAGGAGGTGGGTTTTTTATTTTGTTTTGTTTTTTGTTTTATTTTGGTTTCAATTGAGTTACCATAATATTTGGACACAGAACCATATTCTGTATGGGTGGTATATTTAAGTTAGATTTCTCTTGGGCTGAATTTCATTCTTTACTAGAGTGAATTCTATGACTTGATATCCCAGCTCCCTGAGGACAAATGTGAAAATGTTCTCTGAATAATTTCAGGAGCCAAACTTATCCTGTACTTCTGTTATTTTTAGTATGGTTTGAGGGAAAAGACACATCCAGAGGTAACAGAGAAATCCATCTTCTACTGTCTTACTGTCTGACTCCGATAGGCATTACTCTCTGTAGCACATTGACTTTGATCAAGAGAACTTCATGAAATAAGGTGTATAATGTATAAGAAAGATATTAATTTCAGAAAATATGTAACAATGACTTTTTTCTCTTGCCACAGAGGACATACATATTTACCTTCCTACTCAGTTCTCGGTTATTTATGCATCCTTATGAGCTAATGGCCAAAGTCTGCCACTTATGTGTTGAGCACCAGAGGCTAAGTGAACCTGATGGTGATAAGGTAATGAAACATTTTGAACTTCATATTTTTTTCCCCTTAGGCTCAGATTTTGTGAAGTTGGTTACCTCAAATAACCCCAGCTTATCCCCAAGACGAAGAGCATAAGTGATATCATGGCTATGCTTAGGAATTGGGGTTGGTTGAAAGGATACCACAAATCTAATGCCATGGTGGGTCCCTGGATATTGCCATAAGTTAGTTGCACTTGGCAGGGACATTGTGGGATGGGGGAGTTAGAACTGCTTCTTCAACCCCAAAGATTTTGCACTAACCTGACCCTGGTATTATTTATTTGATGTAGTTTATGATGACAGATAACACTGAACTATATTTGCTTTTTCTCCCTAGAACCAGATGAGAAAAATTGCACCTAAAATTCTTCAGCTCTTGACAGAATGGACGGAAACATTTCCTTATGATTTTCGAGATGAAAGAATGATGAGAAACTTAAAAGATCTGGCTCACAGAATAGCCAGTGGTGAGGAGGTTAGTAACATGAATTTAGCACATAGCCTGGGTGGGAGATGGTGCTTCAGAATCTCAATGCTTCCTTTTGGTTCTGCCTTTGGGCAGACCCTCTGCATGGTGTGTTATTGTCCTTCTTGGTATATCAGGGGGGATGATTATTCCATCCCACTTCAAAGGGGTGCAATCTAGAGTTTTCTGATTAATTGGGGATATGTTCATGTGAATTCATGCACAGGTCTCATGTTGCAAGTGTGTTTTAATTTCACTTTACTTATATCTCTCTTCCTTCCAAAAAGTTTTGACAGAGCTAGCAAGAAAATAAATGGCATATTAATAAGCACTAATAGATTTAAATAGCATCTTAGTATAATAGTTGATAAGTAATATTAATAAATCATAAATAGAAATAGACAATCTGGACCAGGGAAGGGAGAAAACAAATATGCCACTGTTGAGAGCCAGCAGGGTTGGAAAGGACTGTTATGGGTTATGTTTAAGTTCCAGATAAAAGGGAAATGCAGGTGGTTATATAATTTTCATTTTCAGGGAAGGAAAAAAAGTACTAATTCCTCAATGCTTTAGAGGAAAAATTCAGAAACCTAGGGCTGGGGATAAAGCTCAGTGGTAGAGCACTTGCTTAGCTTGTATGACACCCTGGCTTCCATCCCCAATACCACCAAAATAAATAAATAAATACACAGAAACTTTCCAATAAGAATTTTTGTATAGGGGTCTTAGAATGAGATATTCTTTATAGTACTCTTTATAATGATTACTCCTTGATAAAACTAAGACCAGAGATTGGCACCTAAGTTACCAAAGGTAATTCTTTGGGAGAGGAAGACAGAGAAAATAATCCAAGTCTTCTGGTGCTAGAGATTGACTCAAGGCTAGGACCTGGAATAGGTGGAGATTGAAAGTAAATCTCTTAGATAATCTTCCATAAATTCTACTTCCCTCAATTGAGCCTTTGATAAGAGCTGACTAGTTGTGACAAATTTAGTGTTATCCTTTTTGAAGCAGGCCTGGAGGGCTGGTATTCAGTGTTGAGGCTTGTCAAGCAAGGATGTCTTTGTAGTATCTGTTGTTGCTGGAAACTTTCTGGAAACAAGTTGCTTCAGCAAGATACAACCTTTCACATAGAAGAATGTGGCCGAAACTTTCAGCAATGGCAGTGATGTCTTGTTTCATTCATCTGAAAATACATTCACTTCACACATAAACTTCATGCAGAACTCATTCTTTAAGTGGTGTTGAAAAGATAATATTAACAATCCTTATGGTGAGGTTTTCATGCCATTTCCCTAATGCAAAAAAAAAAAAAAACACACAGAAATCAAACTAAAATTGTATCAGTTTAGCACTTGAAAAACTGGAACTTGGCTTTCCTGCATTAGGTTCTACTTTATGAGATGATATTGAAGCCGGGTGCTCACAATAGCTTTCTGCAAGGCTGAATGGATCATTTCCTGAGTCATTTCACAAAGTTATGACTATTGTAATCATTTTGCCAGTTTGCCTGTCTCAGCTTCTGCCAGGTTTGTATTGATAGGTCCCTTACTCACAGAGGCAGACATTAAGCCTCATGGAGCAGTTATATGTAAGTCTTATGTTAGAGGGGTTAGCCCTTGGGTAGCTTGGCAAGGTCAGTGCAGACTCAATGACCTTGGTTTATGACAGTCTGCTCAAAAGATTGGTGGCATCACAGGGTGTTTTCTTGCATGAAGGCTGAGCCCTCGATCAGTTAGTTCTATATTCCAGGTGAGTGTGTGTAGCTACTTTGTATGACAGTCAGCTTATCTGCCTTCTCTGTATTGCTTTATTAAAACATGAAAATTATAACTTAGTTTTTCCTTAAAGAATCATCTTAAAAAACTTTTTTATTTTTAAGATTAAATGTTAGTGATTTGAAAATGCTAAATGGACGGCTTTTAGTCCTTCTTGTCATGGGTGTCAGAGAGGGAGATCATTTCTATCTGTAGCCAAATGAAACCTAGTCTCTATTTTAGAACAAGATTGAGCCATTCAAAAGTTGGGTAGAGCATGCTTCATAACACCAAGAAAAGGGCCAGTCAGACTTCTGACCCACCTTCTTGTTAGCACTCCTGTTTTAATAACACATTCTTAATAAACTTTGGGAAATTCAGCAGGATTTGAGCATGTAAAGAGGAGATGAGAAGATAAGCCAAGTCTAACTGAGGAGCCAACTGACCTAGGGGTTGAGTAGAGAGATGTGCCCACCTTGTCAGGCTGGTGGGTGTCTCAGGAACCTGCTATTTCTTTGGTTGTTTTTATCTAATATTCAGAAATCAGGTCTACACTCGGCAGCTGGTTGATCTGAGTGTGCTTTGGCAAATCCCCTAAATTCCTTGCTCCTTTCTCATCTCCATAAATCATGCAATTAACTGCCCTGTGTTAATGTCCCTTCCAGCTCCCAAATTGCGTGATGGATGCTCTTTCCCCAGCTCTTTGCTTGGCAGTCCTTTATCTGTCATGTCTTTAAGTGTCTCTCCTCAGGTAGACTTCCTCTTGTCACCCTGAGCCTGCTCCCATTCCTGGTTGTCACCAGCTCTCCCTTCAGAGCACCTCATAGCATTCTGTGACTTGTAATGACTTTCTATTTGCTCCCACTGGGTTCCATGCTGTGCCCTCGTTGTTCACCATGGCATTTAATAGACTCTTAGCGCTTGAGTGAATGAATGAATGAATGAATGAATGAACAGGCAAATCAGTTACCACAATAGGAAAACATTATTTCCCTCCTGTGGCAGGAGTTTGGGCTTCAGTTGCAACTTGTTGCTTCTTGCCTCTGACTTCAGGGATTTCTTTGGCAGTCAGTGAAGCCAGGTGTGCCCCATATATAATTTAGGCAGGTTCTCGTGTATCTGCTAGGACAGTTCCACATAATTTGGCTTAATATGTTTCTCCCCTGGGGATTTGCCCTAAATGAAGTGGTTTATTAGGACTTGCCTGCAAGAAACATGAAATGGAACTAATGATTGAATTACATGACAAATGACTGTAGTGGCTAGAATGCAATTTTCTCTTCCTTAAGGGGCTGGTCTTTATAATAAGAACTTCTATCTTTATTTGCCAGGTAATTACTGTCGCTGGCATTTGAAGTTATAAAAAAGAATAAGTACATATTTAGCAATGCATGACTCAGTGAGGAAGCATGCTTAATAACACAAAGCTTGATTTCTCAAATGGAATCAAATGGAAGCAGGAAACTTAAAAGAGGTCACACACATTTCTGTGTCCTCTTCTTTTTCTCTCTTATGTACACATGCAGGCACACACAGAGGCACACACAGACCCACAGTGTTACTTGAATAGCTTTCTCCTATACCCTGCTGTGTACATTTCTCCCTATATGTGTTGGTGGTGTCTTTTGCTCACTCTGGTAATCTGGATATATAATTCCTCGCCCCCCCAACCAAAAAAAACCCTAAAATATTAATGCAGAATCAAAATCTTTCACCAGATGTACTAGTAGAGCATGGGTTCTCACCCATTGCTGTGTGTCAGAGTCACCTGAGGAGCATTTGCATCATGCTCCCCAGATTGTACCTCAAATCAATCAGTCAGAATCTCTGGAGGTGGACCAAGCTGTGGGCTCTCCCCCTCAGCTGTTTCTTTTGTGGGTGTGGTCTTCTGAGAGAAAAGTTCTTTCTTAGATGTCTTGAACCTGTGTTATCCAAGAAATCCCATTGTGGGAAAGTTATTTTTTTTAAAAGAGAAAGAGAGAGAGAATTTTTTAATATTTATTTTTTAGTTTTTGGCGGACACAACATCTTTGTTGGTATGTGGTGCTGAGGATCGAACCCGGGCTGCACACATGCCAGGCGAGTGCGCTACCACTTGAGCCACATCCCCAGCCCAGAAAGTTATTTTTTTTTTTAATAAATCAAGTAATATAGGAATGCATTCTGGTTGTTAAAAAGAGAACACAATTTATACAAAGCCCCCCAAAGTTTCACCAATCCTACAACTGGTGTCAGTTTTGTGTGTATGCATTTATGCACAGATACACACATCCATAGAAGCAGCGTGTATAGTTCATGTGTGCAWGTGTGTGTTGGCCTCGTGTTTGCCACCCTGCTTTTCCACCCAGTGATGTGTCCCGGGGAACCTTTCCACGTCAGTGCAGATATCTGTGTCCTCTCTCACCTGCTCCACAGTAGTCAAAAAAATTAGTTTTTCTTTTCATAAACTACTTTGTTGGAAGCAAATACTATTTTCTCATGCAGAAAATGTACGATTTTTCTTAGAAAGCCTTAGCAAAGACTATAAGTCCCTTATTCACACTGAACTGTGATCAGTAGAGTAGTAATGACAGTTGTGGGTTACTCTTATTAAGTGGGCTTTAATGACTGAAACTGCAACTTTATGACATGTGTTTTGTACTCTGAATGGTACATGCTGTAACTAAAGTACCTCAAAAAAGTTTATTATTTATCTTAATAAGCTGGGAAATATTTGCATAATTTGAACAAGTAGTATTAACTCTCCTGAAGACGTGTACTTTGACATCTGGGACAGATGACTGAAGGAAACATCTTCAGGTAGAGTTCTTGGAGTTTTAATGTATCTCCATGTTACAAAAGTAGAAGAGGTAGGGCAGCCAGGATGAGGGATTGAAAATAGCCCATGACTCAGCCTTAAATTGCTTGGAATGCCAAAGAAAGAGGCATTTTCCTTGAGAGACATATATATTCCCAAACAAGTAGCATCTTCTAAACTGATAACCCGAATGTTGATTGAAAGATAGGTTTTTTGAAGATTCATTTTTTACACACTTAGGTATTTCATCATTTGGGGATGATCTGCAAATGCAGAGAAAAATCAGGTCATCTAATAGGCAACCATAAAGAACTCATCAGAATATATAATGACATGTAGAGAAGAAGAAAAAGAAGGCCGTGCTTTTTATCCTTTACAATGCAAGCATGAACCATTTCTCCATGTGTTGTAATCTTCCTTATGTGCAAATATCTCTAAGTTTTTATATGTGCTCTGTTAAACCAAATTACTTCTTTAAAAAAACACGTAGCTCTTATACTTGTCGGTAAATGCCACTCAATTTTCAGATAGTTAATCTCAGCAAATGATACTGTGATACCTTTTAAGAAGTCAGTAAAGCTGGGATGGGATTGTGGTTCAGTGGTAGAGTGCTTGCCTAGCACGTTTGAGGTATTGGGTTTGATCCTCAGTACCACATAAAACTAAATAAATAAAAATAAAGGTATTCTGTCAATCTAAAAAATTTATTTTAAAAGGTCAATAAAGCCTTTCTACATTTGTAGATTTACTGGAACTGTCATCCTTGAGAGCTGGTAACCTTAGCACCAAGTTTGCATTGAATCAGCCCATAGGTCTATCTGTGACATGGGCATCATAATCCACTAGAAAGAGAATTACTGTTGGCAATTTGGGACCAGAAAAGGAGGACCAAAAGAACTCCATAACTTAGAATAAGTGTGCTCAAAGAGTAGGGAAGTTATTTCTCTGATGTAACAAGTGTTTTCAAGGGAAGAGATTGACACTTCTCTATAACACCTGCAGTGTTTTTTAAACCAATTTCTCTTTAAGTATTGTGGCTATAGCAAAAGGAAGTTGCAAACAAAGTGGCATCTGGTATTAGCATTGTGGGGAGAACTGCCACATGGAAGAGTTGGTTGTGAACATTAGTACTGATTCATGAGCACCAGAGAAATGGGTAGCAGCCAAGTGGAGGTCAGATACCAAAAATGAATATCCACTTCCACAATGCATGTGAAAGTCAGGAAGGTGGGTGGGCGGGCAAGTGGGAAGTAATCTGTCAAGTAGTTTTCATGTCCTCAGGCTGATAAAATTGAATGATAGGAATGGAGAAATAAAGTAAGTGGCCTAAAAGAAAATGTTAGAAAAAGAATGCTCTTGGGTGTAGGAAAGACGGTGGAATGAGACAGACATCATTACCCTAAATACATGTATCAAAACACAAATGGTGTGACTATACTTAGTCTACAACCAGAGACATGAGAAATTGTGCTCTATTTGTGTAATATGAATTGAATTGCATTCTGCTGACATATATATAACAAATAAGAATAAATTTTTTAAAAAAAGAAAGAAAAAAGGATGCTCTGACTTGAGGTCACTGTATTTTATCCTTCCAAAAGTAAACAGATGCATTTCTACCAGAGAGCAGTTAGTTGTGTGTAGTCTTCATTAACACTGGATCCCCTTGAAAGCTCATCTGTAATGTCTATAGTGTTTTCAAGGCCCAACCTGAATCGGACTGTCCATAGCAACCTGATAACAATGACTAAACTCTACAGGTTTGGAAAGACACTTGATGTGTTTGTGTCTCTTTTAAACTATTAGAGCTATTTGAATCCTCCTGTAGGTTTCCTGAACTAAGTTGATTGCCCAATCTCAAGGTAAAATCACTCACAGACATAGTTCCTGAGGCTGCCTAGTACTGAAAAAGGACATGCAGAGCAAGATTGTAATTCTTTGCTTATTCCCTAGCAGACATACCGGAAAAATGTCCAGCAGATGATGCAGTGTCTCATTCGTAAACTTGCTGCCCTCAGCCAGTATGAGGAAGTTCTGGCAAAAATCAGCTCGACATCTACTGATCGGCTCACAGTTCTCAAGACCAAGCCACAGTCCATACAGAGGGATATCATTACTGTCTGCAGCGACCCTTACACGTTGGCCCAGCAGCTGACTCACATAGAGTTGGTGAGGCCCTGGTCATCTTTGCCCTTTGCAACCACAGGTTTTGTTTGCTTTGGCAACCAGACAATGTATCTGCCAGCAATAAAGTCACAAGAGAGGTCAGAGTAATCCAAATGGGAAATAATCTATGAAATAGGATTTGAAGGCATTTGAATATGAATGCTTTTGATATTCTGGGAATTTACTTGCAAATAAACACCAAACATAAATGAAAAGCAGAGTTCATTGACCTTCCTCATTTTCTGCCTCTGATTAATTTTTCCATGACTGGCTCAGTCTTCAACTATCTTATAGAACGTTGACCTAAGCAAAAAATTGCCTCTGTTCAGACCTTGGAGATAATGAAACAATTGGGGGTTAAAAGCTTATTTTATAATTTGCATTAAGAAATGGGGGTGATGCCAAAAGCCATTGGAAGGAGTTGACTTTTCATTTTCTTTAATGCTGTTGATAATGCTGGATTTTCGTTTCAGGAGAGGCTTAATTATATCGGGCCAGAAGAATTTGTTCAGGCATTTGTGCAGAAGGACCCTTTGGACAATGACAAGGTAATCTATCCATCTAGAGGTCAGTTCTAAGACTAGAACTGGAAAGCCGCCTTAGTTTATGATAATAGATAAGACATCCAGGCTAAAACTATTCTGTTTTAGGTTTTAAAATCAGGAAGTTAGTTAGTTAGTTTCTTTCTTTCATTAGCCATGTGGGATTCACTGCAATTCTTCTTGAGCCAGATCTCTGAGTGCCTTTACAATATTTTTACCCCATCACTAACTTTTAGCCTGTCTTTTGTCCTTATTGGGGAATGTAATAAGCCCTTTATAGCAAGTAGATGCAGGCATTTGTGGTAATGAAGGTAGAAGATAAAAGCATAATGATTTTAGCAGATTAAGCCAGAAAGAAAATAAAAATAACAATGCTGTGCTCATGATTCAACAATAGCATGGGCAGGAGAGACAGGATGCACATACATCCAGCCTGCTGAGCACGAATCTTCAATCTTCGCTGCTTTGCCTCTTGTTTGAAGGTTGATCCCTCATGTCAGGTTTATGGTGGAGCCCACACATTAAGGAAATAATACTGGACACAGAATATAAAATCATTGTACACATGTAAGAATTTTATCTTCCAGTAACTTCCATCCCTAAGCATTTTGAATTATAAAGCAAAAAAGACTGCATCACCCGCTGATGAAAGTCCCCTCTGGGAGTAGGGACAACAGCTGTTTTCCGGCCTTAGAGTAGTTCCTCTCAGTCCGGCCTTAGGGTAGTTCCTCTCAGTACGGGAAGTGAAGAATATGTTTTGCAATAGAAGGCTAGTGGACWTTTTTGTTTGTTTCTTTTGGAAAAAAATGCAAAGGGGTTAATGAACTTCTTCAAGCTTGGCCTTGAACGCCAAGATGAGATGAACTTCTTTTGCCTTTGAAGAGTGTATCACTCACCCTCCTAAAAACCAGGATAGCGTAGACTTCTATTTATCATCTTTGGAAGATATTTTGTTTCTTGGTACACGATGATCCAAAATTTTGTTCAGCAGCTTAATTTTAGGAGAAGGTTTTTGAGGCCCCTGCCCTGTTGGCCTCTCCTTCCTGTGTTGATAGCAATTGGTATTTGTATCCCATTAATCAGTGCAAGATTGTTTTTGAATGCAGCCAGAACCCTTCCTTTGAATTGTGTTTCTGAGGACAGATCTTACCCCAAGTAACTTTATTTCTTGGGAAGGTAGGGAGGGGTATTTTTATGCATGCATCAGAGTATATTTCTAGACCTCAGGTTTCACAGAACCTAAGAGATTTTTGTATTTCTGTAAGAATAATCAAGAATGCTAATGGTCCTGGTGGCCTCTCCTCTTCCCTCCACTCCCTCTTCCTGTCATCTCATCCTAAAAAGCCTTCCTAATCCATAAACTGAGAATCAAGTCCCCATGTTGGACAAAATGAGAGCCCAGTCTAGTCTTTTTTTTTTTTTCTAACTTACCCACGCACTTTGGTTTCTCCATAGAGTTGCTATAGTGATCGGAAGAAAACACGAAACTTAGAAGCTTATGTGGAATGGTTTAATCGCTTGAGCTACTTGGTTGCTACTGAAATCTGCATGGTGAGAAAATGAATTTTCTCTGTCTTCTGGGTCTTGATTATTTTTCGTACTTTCTTTACATTTGTGGGCCTGCATGTTGGATAACTGCCTTCCATCCTTTTTTCCACTTAGCCTGTAAAGAAGAAACACCGAGCAAGAATGATTGAGTATTTCATTGATGTAGCTCGAGAATGTTTCAACATTGGCAACTTTAATTCCTTGATGGCAATAATCTGTGAGTATTTTCTGGTGGATATGTGTCCTTTATTTCTGTAAAGCAAAATGTATAAAATTGTGAAATGTGTTCACCAAAAATCTGCAAATAGTTTTATTTATGATAAATGTACTTTTGAATATTGAAATTTAGAATGTTCAAAATGTTTTAAATAGCCAAATTGGTACAAGCAAGTATACTTAATCTTTCTTAAGTATGCAAGAATTCGTGGAATACTTTTAATTTATCTTCAATTAAATATTCTCCTATAAAAGCTGAGAACTGATCATTTTTTGATTGCCTGTGTTCCTGTACTTAAAGTTGCAGTCCTTACTACTCCAGCATACCAACCTGCTACTCTATATATCATGGAGATTTTTAATGCCAGAGACCATGTTACTTTCCATTCATTCTATAAACATAGGACATGAAATAACAAGTCTTAGGTGTTCTAGTTTATACCTGTTGTCTTGCTATAATTATTGATAATGACCCTTTCTTTGAAAAATGTACTAGTTTATATGACAAATTATATGGCCATCCTACACATTATAGGTGCTCAGTAGATATATGAATAAAAGAACAAAGGAGTTAGGGTCAATTTGATGCTAGAGAATCTATCAAATTTAATTCAGTAATCTGAATTACTGACAAAACCCCCTTCTCTAATTCTTTATTCCATTTTGTTTGCATATAATTTCCCCTTTGCTGCTCTCATAAAAATACTGGCCAGATTTCAACTGTTTTTTATTTGACTCACTCCATGAAAACAGTGAACTGAAAGATTATCTGAGACAGAAATCTGAAAGGTTCACAGTCTAATAAAAAAGATTACTTAATTTCTCTCTTCTGCCATCAAAAAAATGTCAAAACATGTCATCCATGCTTTGCATTTATCATCTTATTAATCCACTCAACATTCCTACAAGAATAAGCTGAGTTCCAGAGGAAAGAAATTTTCCCAGGGATGTCCAGTTAACAACTGACTGATGCAAGCTCAGTCAGGGATCAGGAAGCTACAGCTCATGGCCCAATCTGGCCCACTATTATTTTCTTTATGACCAGTGATCTAAGAGTTTGAATATGATTGAAAAAAAATCAAAATAATATAAAATTTCTAACATGTGAACATAATATAAATTCAAATTTCAGCATCCAAAAATGAAGTTTTATTCAACACAGCCATAGAAATTTGTTTATATAATTACCTATGACTGCTTATGCACCATAACATGACAATGTTTTGTAGTTTACTATGCAGACCATATGGCCTGCACAGCCTAAGACGTTTACTGCTTTTCCTTTTACCAAAAAAAAAAAAAAAAAATGTGCTTACCTCTACTCAAAGCAAATGGTGTCATTATGCTGTTTCTGGGCTGGAGGAGAATTTGCAAGAAAAAGTTGTAAAGCTGGAGTTTATCACTAACAATTTGTTGAATCCAATTACTTACATTTAGTACTGAACACTTTAAGTAGTATAAATTGGAATAGCTTTTCTTATATCTCTATTTCAATTTTCTCTTCCTCCCATGCATTTTAAATGGGAAGCTGGCATGAATATGAGCCCAGTCTCTCGACTAAAAAAAACTTGGGCCAAAGTGAAGACTGCAAAGTTTGACATTCTTGAGGTAAGTGAAACTGATGTTTTACTGTTAAATGTTTTATACCTGGAAAGTGGGATTCATTTGTTCAATCTGTCGTCTCTGATAGTGTTGCACAAGAAAAAGTCTTACAGACCAAAGGGAAAGAAAGGGATTCAGATTTCAGAAAAGGAAAATAAATCAGGTTTTGGACTAGTCTTTTTATAAAAAGAGTGTCCATTTTGAGTTTAACTGAAGAAGTGCTGACTGTCAATCACAACACATTGTATGCGGAAATAGAGTTGGGGTCCTGAACAGTTGAGGAGTTTGTCTCAGGTTGCCTAAACTAGATTTATCTATCTATTTAATTTATCTGTAGTGTCTCAGTTAGGATTTCCTCATTCCCACAGAGTATTCTTTCACCATTCTTTCAACAATTGAGGCTAACTTGTGCAAAGCCCTTCCCATGTAATTGTGAAGATGGTAAGAATTGTGCACAAGGCATGCATGTTTGAATCGAATTGATTCATCTATTCCCTTGGTGTATTGATGCTTTCAGTCTATTGTCTTTGGAAATATAAGCATTCTTTCCTAAGTTTTTCCCCAATTGGAAATTATCATTAGATATCTCTTATGATGCCTTATTCATGTTATCTAATAAATTTGTTTTCTTTGTTGCAAAATGGTATGCTTTCAATTATTTTGAATGATTTGTTATCAAATGTAAATAACAAATTCCYTACAAAGTGACTAACCATTACCTAGCCAGTGACCCTCAAAGGAAAATTTTCTAATGTTGAGGTTTGACTCTTGGTTATCAGTTTTAAATCTGATATCAAGAGTTAGCAACACAGATTGGTTTAGGCTTAACATGATCAAAATTGACATTAGCTTGTGAAACTGAACCAAACATCAGAAAAGAAAACATTTGTGTTCTAATGTGTTGTGTGTACAAATATGTGTTTAAGAGGGATATGTCTTATTCCTAATGAGTTCCCTAACTTATTTTGAATTGCTTATGTTTAGTTTAAGTTGTGATTTTTTTGAACTTCTACAGATGAAAAATAAGTGGTTAATACTCTTCTCTCTTTTATCTGTAGCATCAGATGGACCCTTCCAGCAATTTCTATAATTATCGAACAGCTCTTCGCGGGGCAGCACAAAGGTCTTTGACTGCTCATAGTAGCAGAGAAAAGGTATGCACGCAAAGCAGTGTGTAATTTATGATAGAGTCACCACGTTTTACACTGCAATGCAATGGGAACTACTTTACTGAGCTTCTTTTACCTATTCATACCTAAGACAGATGCACATCATAGAAATTTTATCACTTGACACATAGGGAAAGAGGAATGCTAAGGAACTTTGCAAATACATAGTACTGTGTTATTGGTACATTACTAAAGTGCTTATTTTGTAGTGTGCCTTGTGTTTAAATAATAAGTCACATATTAAGGTGACTAATAGCATTAGAGAGTAATTTAATTTAATGGAAAACAGACATTTAAGCTTTGCACAAGGTGCCTGACTTAATGTAACCCTTTCTTTTAAAAGAATTAGCTTACCTCCCATGGTTAAGTCATTTATTTTCAGAAAGTAGGCTAGTTGCTATAGCATTAGGCCTGCTGTTACTAATTGGATATGCAGGTGGCAGAAAAAAGTACAGGGATGATGTCTGAGAAATTAATGATCCTCTCCCTGTTATGCTTAAGCAATACTACCCTGGATCTAAGGGTCCTCTCTTGGCACATTTTGTTGTCATATTTCCTTACAGAGGAAGGCAAGTCATCTCAATGTTGGCCATGGTGTTATTTGAGAAGTACTTACCTCATTTTAGTAAATGGTTAGTGAAGGTTTCTTGGTAGTGTTATCTTCCGTTTAGATTCTGGCTCTCTTTTACCTTAAATTATATAGTAAACAAATAAAGGAAAAGGTGTGTGGGGGGGGTAAAAAAATACTTCACAGCATCTCCATCATGTCTCCAGGTTTTTAACCATTCCTCATAGGATCACATGGTTTTCAATCCCTTAGCCTTTCTATGTTTCTGTGACCCTTTTTTTCTGCATGCCAGCAGAAAAATATAGTACCTTTAAAGTACAGTTTTGGCTTTCTGAATTAAGACCATTTAAAAAAGGAATTGGAAAATATAACTTGAGAAGTCCTTCCACTAAAGGCATCATGGGCAAGACCTTCTAAAAACCAAACTCTCTCTCCTACTAGTAACCTGTATATTCACTTAGCTCATAGGAATCCAAAGTCCTTATATTCTGACTTTTACTGCATTAGCTTTATATTAGATTTAAGGGCTACAGATATGATAGGAATTATCTTTGGGTAAATGAGAAGTTGAAGAAGCCTGTGAAACTTMTTTCTTGAACATGGGCTTAGGGAACTGAACAGTGAAGTACTCTCAGGGAGATTGGCTGTTTCCAATTCCTTGGGAGAGCAACTCAGTCGATAGTAGAGAATCATGCAGGCATCCATGCATGCAAACATCACATGAGGAACACCCAGAATTTATAATCCAGCTAGAGGCACATGGCCTGCATTTAGAAAAATTTTATATATCAATGCGAGAAAATAAATGATTAACACCCCATGACTCTCATAGCTCAGCACCAAAGAATAGAGCACAGGAATATAGTTCTTGCTTTAAAAACTATTACAATGTACAAATATTACATCTTGATCACAATTTTGTTCTCATTTCCCTGTGACTGTCATATGATGATGTAGCTCCATTATATTTTAAGGCATACCCCACCTGAGTAGTAGCTTAAAAGCAAACATAGACAATATTTTGATGGATGAGCATCGCTGTGTTCCATTACGCCCCTGCAATTAGAATTTCATGTAATTTTCATGTATCATAAGGTATTATTCATTTGATTGTTATCCAGCCACTTAAAAATGTAAAATATGTGACTCCTAAACCATCCAAAATTGGRGCTACAGTTTGCCAACTTCTAATTCTTACCACCACCAGTAAATGGTRGTTCCAAATTCTTAACTGATGTCTGACAGAGTCCAGCACTTCTCACCATTAAGTAATTTTTGTTGATTGTTGAAGTATACTTTTATCATTATTCTGATGGTGTCTTAGCTCTAACACCATAGAAAAATAGCCAGTAACATTAGAAGGAGAAGGTAATGAGATCTTTACTAATTCAGCCTTAGCAACTTCACAGACAAAAACAAATGATTAAAAGCATATTCAAGAGAGCTATCAAAACTGAAGATTCAATTTGCTTATTTTCAGAAATCAGTAAAACAAAAAAATAATGAACACCTTTTTAAAATTACTTCAGGGGTATGTTTTCCTGTTTATTTGGTATAGAAGTGCCACATGAGCCATGAGCTTAGGAAACTTCAAAACCATGATCTTGAGGRAATAAGAGACCCACAATATATGTTTGGTATATTATTTGTATTGTAGAAAATTTAGAATCATTAAAAATATGTTGGCATTTTAGAGAAAGTGGAAGTTATTATATCTGAGCCTTTTTCTTTTTTTGGTAATGGGTATAGTAAGATTTAGGTTACTTACTTAAAGATTATTTGGGATTAATTATTGTAAAATGTCACTCCATCAAACCAAAGAATTCAGGCAGGAAATTATTGTTAAAGAAAGTTCAAGCTGGACACTGTGGCACATGCCTGTAATCCCAGTGGCTCAGAAGGCTGAGGTAGGAGGATCACAAGTTCAAAGGCAACCCCAGAAAAATTAAGGCACTAAGCAATCCCTGACTCTAAATAAAATACAAATAGGGATGTGGCTCAGTGGTTGAGTGCCCCTGAATTCAATCTAAGGAGGAGGAGGAGGACGAGGAGGAGGAAGAGGAGGAGGAGGAGGAGGAGGAGGAGGAGGAGGAGGAGGAGAGAAAGAAAGAAAGTTCATTGTAGAGAGTTATTGAATTTAACTCACACATTTATATTTCTCCCTCACTGTGGCACATCCGTCTCACATCATATTGTACCAGGTACTTCTGAGGTGATTTTCCATGACAGCAAGTGCTAACTTGTTTCCTCATTCACAGGCTATCTTTATCCCATAGGCATGTGTAGCCATGACTGCCCATAAGCTCTCACATTATCTTGAGCAATGCCCTCAAGGATCAAATAAAATTATCCAGGGGGAAAAATTATCTAAACTGTAGACATCTAAATGATGTGGCAATATAAATGATGGGCCACACACCTTAAATCTCAGTACTTTCCAGAGATAATTCTTCTATTAAGATTTTACCATAACTAAAAGGTTGATGAATGAAAAGCAAGAGTGCCTTTTAGATATTTTTTCTTTTCATTATAACTAGAATTTTCAGATTTTATTACATGTTACTCTGCACTGAGAGAAATAGGAAGCACTATAGGAAAAGCATTTGTCCATCTATTTCCCAGTACCACTTATTCTCGCTATGTTTTGGTTAATATTAACATTTGCACTTTAAGCAAAATTATGCAAGGGAGGAAGTGGCTGTCACATACGGTGTACAAAGCACTATACCTTAGTTCATTGTGGCCTTGCATGCAACTCAGAGTTAATGTTGTTTATTAATCCTTGGAACTATTTGATGAGATGCTAAATATTTATTTACCTAGGCAAACTAGAATCTTTTATTTTTCTCTAGATTGTGATACCATTCTTCAGTCTCTTAATCAAAGATATTTATTTCCTCAATGAGGGCTGTGCCAACCGCCTCCCAAATGGCCATGTCAACTTTGAGGTGAGTATGATAAAGTAGGATGAAAAAATCAGGGCATAGAGGGAAGTGCGGCCTCTCTAGCACTGCATCCCAGGCCTGGCTGCAAGAGCTGACTCTGTAGTTCTACAACAAACTTTCTCTTTCCCTATTATTTTATAAGAAATTAATAAAACCAAGTAGAATATAGTTGCCGTATCATCATCATCATCATCATTATCATCATCATCATCATCATCATCATTATCATTATTTGAGGGAATGTTTACCTGGACCAACCTAGCAAATACAGTTTTTATTAAATTTCTTAAGTATGTAATACAGAAGCTTAAAAACCAAAAGGAAGCATTTTAAAGGGAATTGTCTCTTGCAGGCTTAATAATTTTTGATGATCACCTTTAAAATTCTTCTCCTTTGCTCTCTTTCAGAAATTTTGGGAACTGGCCAAACAAGTGAGTGAATTTATGACATGGAAACAAGTGGAGTGTCCATTTGAGAGGGACCGGAAAATCCTGCAGTATCTGCTCACAGTGCCAGTCTTTAGTGAAGATGGTGAGGCCATTCAGTTGTAACCACACTGAGCATCCCCAAATCCTGCATTTAGGAAACAAGCATATAAATGTTTGATGCTTGATTCTGCATAAAACTAGAGGCCAGTCCTCTAATCTGTCCCAGCTTAAGAGCATAGAAAACCTCATGATGTCTCCCTAAAATTTTTAACTTAATATTCATCCATAACTGGTGTGTTTCCAAATTTAAATCCTTTCAAATCCCTGATCTGCAAAGCTTTGAACATAAATGGAAAGCTATTGGAGGGTGTCTTTCTTTCTTTCTTTCTTTCTTTCTTTCTTTCTTTCTTTCTTTCTTTCTTTCTTTCTTTCTTTCCTTGTTTGGACTTGCTTCAATGGAAAAGAGATGTTTTGTGTTTTGTTAATAGATAAGGTAATTTGGAGGAGGGAGAAAAAACCCCCCAAAATTGTTATCACCAGCCATTTCAAGAAGTAAAAGAATGTCTTGACCTATTAAACTATAGGGACATTAAGGCAGAAAAAGTGAATGAATATATATATAGAAAGAAGAGAAGAAGAGAGAGAGAGTTCATAAGACTTGGGGATTTGTTTTATTGATTCATTTTTAATATCCTAACATCATAGGAATCAAGAGCATCAATTGGCTAAAGTTTCTCATCATAGATTGATAGTGTTTGCAGTAATATCTGAAAAACATTTTGAGTGACTATTACCTATTTCAGACTGTACTTGATTGTTTCTAATCTCTATAAATAGGATTAATAACAACCTTTCAAGTTTTCAGATGAGGGTTCTATTTTATTTAAAAAAAGAAAACATATTAGAAGGATAAAAAATTGCCCTAGAAAACCTGTGAAGGTTGTTTAAAAACTGAGGGTACCAGGAAAGAACTGTCAACCTTTTCATTGTAAAGAACATAAATCTGAGTGTATGCCAGCATTGTGTGGTTTGCATTTTGTAAAYATTTTGCCTTATGAATTCTTAGTTAATTAAATGTCTTTTAGGCTTAGAGGCCCTGGGGGTTTTGCTGAGAGGGTCAATCAGAGACAAAATGATGTTATATGTTCTTCAAGAAATAATGAACCTTCTCAGTCATAATTTGATACCTGAAAGAGAGAGTTGTCTTGAATATGGGTTCAGGTTGCACAGGGGATGGATGGAGGTGGATAAGTGGCAGCAGGCTCCAGTATTGACACATGGTCTCTTTTGGTTGATTGTAGCTCTCTACTTGGCATCTTATGAGAGTGAAGGACCTGAAAATCACATAGAGAAAGACAGATGGAAGTCTTTAAGGTGGGTCTCGTTGCTTCTCATTTCTATACAAATCCACAGGAAATATTAGCTTTACATGAAGAAAGCCACCCGTATTCTTCGGGAAGTCCCCGCTCACCTGTTCCAAGTCCTTTACACCATATTTCCTGCTAACTGAATCTTTGTGGCTTTCAATTTTCATTGCCCTAATTCAGCTTTATTACTTTACATTTTTTTTATACTGGCAAATACACAGTGATTCTGTTCTTCTTTCTTCCATAATATAATAGAATGAGGAATTGAAATTATCCAATGCTATGGTACAAAGAAAACACCAACTTTTTTTTTTTTTTTGTCTAAAAGATCAAAAGTTCAAACTTATCTCTGAGTAGTTCTTCTAACCCGGAAATATTTTTTTGATCTGAGATTTTAAAAAATGAACAAAACATTGGTTAAGTTAATGCTGGACCAGTTAACACTGATAATGTTGGGGCCATTACTTACCAACTAACTGGATATCAGACCCCTTTTTGGTTTGAGAAAGAAAACTGGGACTTTAAATAAAATAAGGAGTTTCATACTTTAAAATGTTGCTATCCCATTAGAATTTTCACACAAAATGTGTTAGCATTTGCATTTTTAAGAATCTTGAGATATGGCCAGGCACTGTGGAGCACACCTGTAATCCCAGAGGCTCTGGAGGCGGAGGCAGAAGGATCTCGAGTTCAAAGCCAGCCTCAGCAATTTAGTGAGGCGCTAAGCAACTCAGTGAGACCCTGTCTCTAAATAAAATACAAAACAGGGCTGGGGATGTGGCTCAGTGGTCAAGGGCCCCTGAGTTCAATTCCTGGTATGCCCCCCTCCCCCAAAAAAGAATCTGAGATACTTTCATAGGTAAAAGCAGTCCAGGGCCTCGTATAATATAATCAAAATTGTATTTCTACTAAGCTGATCCAGGAGTGCATGCCTTTGGGTATGTACCAGAGCTGACAAGCACTTTTTCTCTTCTTCCTTTTGTTCTCCCCAGGGACAGTTGGGAGCTTACATTATATTTGATATTAGGCTAGATTTCATGAACCAAGGTATCTAAGATACACTTGTTTTTGTGTGTGTGTGTGCATGTTTGATTTGTGTGTTTCAAAGGAAAACTTAGGCCACCTTCTTTGTACCTCTCAATGAGGAGGGATGGGGTACACAGGTATCAGAATTATTATCTTTAGGACAAGTTGAAGGGATAGATAAAGGACTGAAGATGTTTCTTGTACCTCAGACACAGATAAAGAGGGTCATAAAGAATGGCTGGCTGATGCCATGATTCCTGGGGACATTTTAGTCCTGCTAGGTTGATGCCCTAGTTCTTTTTTTTTTTTTTTAATTTTTTTTTGTGCCTGTCTGTGTCACATTCCATTTAAATTTTGCATTATTTTGTGTTTGAATTAAAAGATATGTGTGGTATTCTTTAATATTTTGACATGCAAAAATAAGTTTTAAAGTCTACACATCTAACTAGATAAAATGTGGAAATAACTCCTCTAAAAATGAAACTTTTTAAGGTGAATTTCATCTTCCATACTTTTTCATCTTAATCCACCCTTTCTCTTTTAAAAACTTCAAGTTTGGTAAAGCCCTTGGGTATAGTTTAGCTATTATTACTTTTCTTGAAGATTTTTTAAAAATTATCCAGGGGACAGATTGACTATGCATAATGGATATGTGGTATCTACATTACCTGTGGCATCCAGACATTAAAATAATCCAGACCTGCCAACACTTTGTTTTAGTTGTTTCTCTGTTATGATACCTTCCTACTGATTAGTGAATCAGTTGTAAGATTGATTAGTCCAAGGTTTGATAGTAAAAACTAAAGATTGAGTTGCATAATCCCTTCCCATATCTCCATGTACCATATACACAGTACATGATAGCATTGAACATTTGATTTGTTGAAATGCAACCAGAAAATTTAGTGGAGAATTTAGAAATATGAGGTGAAAAAAAAAAAAAACTGTACAGGCTTACATTGTGTCCAGGAATGGATCTGCAGTTGTACTCAACTCTAAAGTGCTCATAATACTTCTTGTAAGAACTGAAGGGCGGACTGGCAGCGGCCGAAAACAAAATTAATGGCATATGAGGAAATATGTGTATAAATATTGAAGATATATTCTTTGGTATAAAAGACTAATTTACTAATTTACAATTTAGATTGTTTTCTAAGGAGGCTTGAGGATCAAACTTCCTTTCATGTCTGTGCTTAAGCCTTGCACACACCATTTATACATCCTGTCTGTTCTCATGGTCAGGATCTAGATCTAGTGCTTCCTTCCTACTTGGCCCTTCTCTCCCCAAAAAGTTCCTCCTGCACTCACATACTCCTGAGGCAGGCTTCCTTTCTTGTTGGTTGCTATATGTGGTTTTGTGCAGTGTATGTGTTTTTTTCCCTACTACCTCTGCCTCAGCCCTGGACACACTGCCTTGCAGCTCCTGCTCCTGCAGTGTGAATGACATTGGTTTACTGCATTGGCCAAGGCATAGTACCCACCAAAAGGATAAACAGCAGACACTAGGCTGTCACAGTTCACAAAATCCCATGTTAAGCAAATACTAAATATTCTAGAATGATAGTTCTTACCTGAAAACTTTTCAGTATATAACTTTGAGAGCCATAAAATATTTGTACATAGACACTTCTCTTGCTGTTCCCAGAGTCATTAATTCCAAACACATTCATCAAAGGCAATGACAAATCCACCTCTGAGGGCAGACACTTTTCTTGTCACTTACTATTTAAATGATCCCAATGGTCATAGAATGTGTTGTAGAAGATGCTTTTATCTACTTAAGTAAACCTTCCTATKATAAGACTGGCACCTACCTTTTAAGCTTTTTATCTTGAATGTTCTTTGTGCTTTTTTGGTTTTTGTTTTAATATAAAACCACTCAAGATCTACACTTATGTATAAAGAAAGCTTTTGCTGTCTTCCTTAGAAACTATTTTAAGTGACTAGCAATTTTCCTAAAGGGCAAAGAAGACTTCAAAGTTTGATCACAATCCTATTACAGGTTTTGGTTATATAAAATTGAATCTAAGACCTAGGACAGGCGGGTGCAATGGTGCATTCCTGTATCCCCAGCAACTCAGGAGGCTGAGGCAGGAGGATCCCAARTTTGAGACTAGCCCTAGCAACTAAGAGAGACCCTGTTTCAAAATAAAAAATAAAAATAAAAAGGAGTGGAAWAGAGGTCAATCACCCMTGTTTCCATTCCCAATACAAARAATAAAACCTAGGAAAGACAAAATTAATATTAGGCAATGTTTTAATCCTGATACTAATAGTCTTCTGTGTGCTGACTTAAATGGTTTACTTTATTGCACAGGTCCAGCCTCTTAGGCAGAGTTTAACACATGGAAGCTCCTGCTGCTGTTGCTGCTGCCTCTGCTGCCACTGCTGCTGCTGTCGCCGCCGCTGCTGCTGCATCATGCAGATTTTGGAGGGGCTGGCCTTTGTTTTCTGGCATCTAGTACTAGGAAAACTCACGAAGACCCCACAGCCCTGAGAGCGCTCTGGTCAGCAAAGCAAGGGAGCTCACTCCAGAGCAGATGGGAAACTCCATTCCCACAGCTGACAGATTGACTCAGATTCTGTGAGACTGAAATGTTCRCTGAAGACACTTGAGAAAGAATTCTCTAAAGATCCCGGCTCTGCACATGATTCATCTCCTGGAATTTCCATGTGAATCACAGCTCTGCACCTGGACGGAGTTTTCTTTTGTGTGTGTGTGTGTTTTTTATTTGGTTGAACATTTGCTGCTAATGGGACTTACCCAGCTGAGCGCTGGCTGTTAGGAAGCCCATGTTTCTTTGTTAATTTAAATTAAAAAGGGAGAGGAGGGAGGGGGAAAGCCCCCCCCCCCCTTGGTTTTGATCCCAGACCTCAGCTCAAGCAGTATTGCCAGAGAAGGGTAAGACTGGTTGGACTGCGGACTTCACTGCCCTTAGCGTGTGCTGTGTTGTAAATTCCTCTCCTCCCTCTTCCTACAAGGTTTTGAGTTGGCTGCTGGTTAGCAAACTCCTTTTTACCCGTATAAGTTATTTAATATAATAATGAAGCTCAACACTGTGGTAGGAAAATAGCCACTAGGGGGGAAAAAAAAAGCAGAGTGTGTTGTTGTTGGGCTACTTACCTTGCTAGGACTTTTTGTTTTCTTTGCCCTTCTGAGCTGTTTACAGTTGACCACTGTGTTCCACAGGTGGGAGGGGAAATTTTTTCAGTATTTTTTTTTTGTTGTTGTTGTTGATGCTTATTTTTTTATTGTACATTTAAATGATCTGATTTAAAGGGTCTTAGGAAAACCCATGGAATAATCACATTCTAATTTTTTTTTAACAGACTATGATTTTTCATTACCTTTTGGAGTCTGTTGGTGACTAAACATGTAAACAGAATAAATTGGAGAAGTTACCTCCTCCCCCAAGCAGTGAACAAAGCAAATGAAAAACACCTTGCTGTTAACTCAATGATTGATCTACTTGTGAAATAGCTCACCTTGGGAAACATCTAAATAATCTGTAGTTGCTCTGCAAACAACCATTATATATATATTTACTCWAGGAGAAACTGTAGAGTAGTACTCTGTGCTAATGAAAAAGCAAAACACCATGTTCAAAACAGATGTATGAAAAACCTTAGGACATGGCTTCCAGAAACAGCATGTATGCTGCGCATCATCTCAGCAGGCCCAAACCGGCTCCAAGTTGTCCCTTTACAGTCATCAATATATTTTACACTCTGCCAGGAGTTGTGGCGTCTTTTTTTCTTATAGGGGTGGAGTTGTGGTGTGGGTGGGCTTGTAGTCACAGTAGCTCAGCTGTGGTGACTGGCTGAGAACGTGTGTGGTGTGTGTCCTTGAGGAGAACATGCATGGGCATTTGTTCTCTAAAAATGAATCAGAGTAAACATTAAATAAATAATACTTGCCAGGTGCTTTCTAAGATTATGTGATCATCACACCCACTTTTAGTGTATAAAAACAGGTATGTGATCTGCTGAGAATAGTAATTTGTCCAAGGCCGCATAGCTAAAGAAAGGCACAAGGATTGGAGCTGGGCCTTCTAATTCCAGAGCCCAAGCTTTAAACCACACCAGCAAAGCACCTTGCAAGTATCCTGGGGAATCTTGTTACCAGCAGATTTTGATTCTGTAGGTTTAGGGACAGGGGATGGGGGATGGTGACACTAATGTCACTAGTCCTGGATCTTGCTTAGAGTACAGRCACTCCTGTTTCATTTGTACCTTGAGATTTTTTTTTTTTATTGGTTGTTCAAAACATTACAAAGCTCATGACATATCATCTTTCATACATTTGATTCAAGTGAGTTATGAACTCCCATTTTTACCCCAAATACAAATTGCAGAATCACACGGTTACACACTCACATTTTTACATGATGGCATATTAGTGACTGTTGTATTCTGCTGCCTTTCCTATCCCCAACTATCCCCCCTCCCCTCCCCTCCCCTCCCATCTTCCCTCTCTACCTAATCTGTACCTGGAGATTTTAATTTATGGGGGTAACTGAGGAAAGACACAGACCGGTACCATTCAAAGTCTTATATTACTGACATTTCTCAAAAGAAGGTGGCACGATACATCTCAAAGACCCACAGAGGAAACACCAGTGCGAGGAGACAGCAGGAATGAAAAGAAATCCTGGGCTATGGCCTTTACTGAGGCTTCCCCAGGAAAGGAAAGGCAGGGCATGGTACACATTTAAGACTGGCAAGTTTGAGTAATTTCCGCAGGCTCTGGGCTGGTGGGGTGGTCTCTAGGTGCCTGATTCCTGGGCTGGGATGGATGATGAAGGACAGGAAATACTGCCTTGGTATGTGAAAGTTAGAAAAATAGAGGAGGTTCCCAGCAGCTGAGGAGGCTGAGACAGGAGGATCGCGAGGTCAAAGCCAGCCTCATCATTGGTGAGGCACTAAGCAACTCAGTGAGACCCTGTCTCTAAATAAAATACAAAATAGGGCTGGAGGTGTGGCTCAGTGGTTGAGTGCTCCTAAGTTCAGTCCCCAGTATCAAAAAAAAAAAAAAAAAAAATTGAGGAGGTTATAAGCTAGATATTTGGCTTGTAAATGAAAGAGTATATAACTGGGCTGAGCTTTGTAGTCTTTTTGTAGTCTTGGCTGGCCCTCAGAGGATCCTTCTTACACTGGCCAGCAAGATTTTTTACCATGTCAAAATATATATTAATACATGATTAATACAACCCCACGATGCCATCTCTAGTCCCCTTATACTGGCTTCCCTGGACTCTGCTTTGGTTGATGACAGCAGTTCCTTTAGCTATCTAAGTCAGGGGTCAGCAAGCTATGGGCTGCTGGCCAGTTCTAGCCAGCTGCCTATTTTGTGTGACCTACAAGGTAATGGGTTGAAAAAAAATCAGAAGAGGAATAATATTTCATGACATGAAAATCATGTAAAATTCAAGCATCAATGTCCATAAGTAAAGTTTTATTGTAAGATGGCCACACTCATTTACTTAAGTGTTTTCCTGTGGCTGTTTTCTGCCTATGGCCACAGTCTTATAATTGGGACAGAGACTGCATGGCTCAAAAAAGCTGCAAATATTTACTCTTTGGCCCTTTAAGGAAAGGTTACTGACCCCTGATCTAAGTGGTTTTTTTAAGCATTAGCAAGACAGTTTATAAAAGTGTCAAGAGGTCTCTATTATGGAATTAAGTACCTAAACATGGTGCTGAAAAAAATTTCCTAAAGTGCTCTTAGGCTTAAAAAATGTGAAGCTGTTTCAGCAAAAAGCTTTCATGGAGTTACCATTCTTAAATATAGCCTCTTGTTTTAATGTCCAGGTTAGCCAGCGGTTTAAACCCTGAATTAACTTATCTGTGGAAATGGTTGGATAGTCTCCCTCTTGTACATGTGTGCATTTGCACTCCCCACTGGGTTTATAGGTGCATTTATAATTTCATGAGGCTGGATGGAAGCCTGGGTAAATATAAGCATGAACGGCACCAGGCAATGTCAGACTGATTGGGGTGGTTCTGCCCAGGCATGTCATGCATTCCAAGGCTGCAGGCTTGGAGCTGGGACCTGGAGGGACAAGTTGGGTGTAGATAGGTAAAAGGAGAGTACACCGTTTACTACTTGAAGTACACCTTGTTTTTGAGTACAGAGTTCCCTAGGGGTGGCCTGTCTTCCATCTAACAAACACAACATGATCAGAAACTGGTTGTCTTTGCATTGAAGGTTTTTGCCTTTAGTTATCCCCTTCACCTGGCCCTGGGCATCTCTGCCATTTCCCCATACACTTTCTCCTGACATGCTTTATTTCTTTTTGTACTTTATTTTTCAACTGCTGTCCACATGCCTCCTGTGTGTAAACCTCAAGGAAACAGCCCACCACTGGGAAAAAACTGCCTAAGAATTTTCAGCTGTAGATTCTAAAAGGCCTCTGCCCTCCTCCGGGTGCTTTTGGTTTACCCTGTGGTCTGTCTCAGCAAAAGACAATGCCTGCCTCCATTCCAAATGCATTTTACTATTCTGATGGAGAAAGAGCTACTGGGAATAGAAAAGAGGCTTAGGCCAATTTTCTGCTGGAGCTGAGGGTTCAAAGGAATTCCTTAATGTGTTTCCTGAAACAAACAAAAATGTGGTTAGTGACCTGGAAACTACTAACTAAACATATAAAACTGGAAGATATTCTATGGCAACTCCATTTGTTTTACCCTTAAGATGTGTTAAAAGGAAAGGCTTTGGTCAGACTTGGGTTTCTAGAGTTTTTAAGAGTAAATTGGGGCACTTACTGGGTAACTCAAGAGAACATTATTTGTGGGTTTGAATGATTGGATAATTACCTCAGTTCTCTTCTTCATGTAATCAAGATCACTTGACTCTACTCGATGCTGACAGGTGTTGGGGTTCCAGTATCCACACTTTATGGTTTAGAGACCTGTCATTCAAAACTGTAGACAAGACTGCTTCCATACAAAACAGAAGAGTGCCTTAATTCTGTACTTAAGAATCAGTTCCACTTAGAGGTTGCAGTTTGTTTGTTTACTTAATGCAATGAGGAAAGTCCAGGTAGCTAATTYCTTTTTAGTGCCAGCAGGCTTAAATTCTACTCCTCAACCCTGAAACACTGCTTCACTTCTAAACAGCCACATGCAGATCATCATATTCTGAAAAGAAGTTATCTTGGAATATAGTTAACTGATATCATACTTAAACATAAGAGTACACATAATCCACTTTCGCATTTCTAGGCACAAGTTTGTAGATCATAATTTTGGGAATTAGGAAAAAGGGAACTGATGCTTCTTAGAATAAAGAAGAATATTATATACTCCTAATTGGATGCCAAACTGGAGGGTTTTCTAGCGTGGAACAAAGTTTGCTTTCTTTCCAACTTTTTCCACCTACACAGCTTGGAGAAAAAGAAAGTTAGCGTGAAATCATCTTTCTCTGGATGAATCACTGTGGGAAAGTGAGTTCAGCAGAATGTGTCGTCAGTTTGGTTGAGGCATGACAGTTGGAGGATCATGGGCATTATAAAGTTTTTGCAATGTGATTGTGAATCCTCCTCGTAAGTGCAGGTGAGCTATGATAGATTTAACTTATGTTCCATAAATACATGTTGAATGTATGAGCAAGCCAATTATTAGTCTGGTTATCAATGGGGATTCATAGATTTCCCTCTCTTTGGTTGAACAAATTTCCAATGTACCCTTAAGATATCTGAATTTTGGAAATGCATAGAATTTGAAATGATTCCACTGTATTGTCACTGTCATCAACAAAGAAAATTCAGCCACTGTGGGGTTTTTAAAGATGATGAGTATCCATTAGCTTGTTTACATTCCCCTGTGTTTATTAGTTAGAACCAATAATCCTGCCAATAAATCTTCCTTTAGCAATCATATAAAAAACCTGTCATTAGAAGGGATCGACATGGCTTAGGGATATGGGGTAAATCTGAAATGCACTCTGCCAGAACACTAGACTTAGAATGTGAAAATTATGTGCTAAGCACACCGCTTGGATTTCTGGACTTTGGAAAAGTCTYCCCCACTTCTGAACCTCAATGTTTTCTTTAAAAGGAGTGGGTCTGGACTGATTGGTGTGGAATGGGCGATGGGGGTCTAATAGCCTGTGGATTTAGAAAGCACTTTCTCAGCTTGCAGTCTTCAAAGATGAATTAGCCAGTAAATGCAGCATCCTGCTTGTGTCCCTCAGCCTTCTCTTCTTCCTGCCCAGCTCTTTTGTGTTTTGTTTAATTGTGTTTGAAGAGGGAAGGGATAAGAGGCTAATTACTACTTCGTAGGAAACAAAGGAGTGATCAAGCCTCAACCCACCCCTCTAGCTGCACGCCACAAAACAGGATAGAGTTCTTTATAGCGAAGACTGATTGTTACCCAGCCCAGAAATCGAAAACACCACTCTTGTGCAAGATCAGTTGCTCTATGATTTCAAAGAAGCTAGGTTTAAGAAAGCATAAAGACTACAAAATAGCTTTGTTGTGTAGACTACATCTTTGTCATAGCAGCTGTTGCAATTATGCTTGTGGATATAGAGATATAGATAAAATCATACATARAGTGCCTGTTCACACCTAGTCATTTACAAATGAGTCACTCACTATATATGGCTTAACAGACCAAGACTAAGGGGAAGTAATGATCAGAGTCTAATTCTGCATTTTGTCAACATTTATTTCTGGAGACC